AACTTGATATCCAAAATGCCTTCTTGCATGGGGATATCCATGAAACCGTTGATCTTCGACAATCCGAGGGATTCGTTGATCCTGCTAAACCTGACCATGTGTGTCTTCTTCACAAATCTCTGTATGGTTTAAAACAAGCACCACGTGCGTGGTTTCTCCGATTGTCTATGGTCCTACATGTTGTTGGTTTTCAACCCTCTAATACCGATCCATCATTGTTCATATATTCCTTATAGGGTGTTCTACTATACATGCTCGTCTATGTAAACGACATCATTCTGACAGGACACAATCCCAACCACATCGAGAGTGCTGTTAAAACTCTTAATCAAACCTTTGCACTTTAGGATATGGGACCTTTATCATACTTTCTGGGGATTGAAATTGTCAAACAAGGACTAGATCTTCTTATATCTCAGAAAAAGTATATCCTTGAATTATTGGAACGAGCTGGCTTATCCAATGCTAAACCTGTTCCGACGCCCCTCACCACCTCAACAAACCCGTCTCTTGGTGATAGTCCCCAGTTCGATGATCTGGTTAAATATCGTCAAATGGTTGGAGCACTTTAGTATGTCACCTTATCACGTCCTGATCTTACCTTTGCACTCAATAAAGTCTGCCAGTTCATGCATTCCCCAACTCAAAATCATTGGTCTGCAGTTAAACGGATTCTTAGCTATTTGCAAGGTACTGTCTCATATGGTTTACTGATTAAACATGGCTCTACTCCCACTCTACATGCATACACTGATTCCACCTTTACTCCCTTGTGTGCCTATTTTGATGCGGATTGGGCTGGTTGCCCGGATGACCGCCGATCCACCGGGGGATATGCCATTTATCTTGGTTCTAATCTTGTTTCGTGGTGTGCTCGAAAACAAAAGATTGTCTCGCGGTCATCTACAAACTCTGAATACAAAGCTATGGCTGATACAGTTGTAGAACTCACTTGGCTTTAAACATTATTGCGTGAACTCGTGTTACTACTAGTTCAGCTCCAATTTTGTGGTGTGACAATTTAGGAGCCACATATTTATCAGCAAACCATGTCTTCCATGCACGTACAAAACATGTTGAAGTTGACTTTCACTTTGTTCGAGAAAAGGTTGCACGACGACAGCTGACGGTTCAATATATCTCCACAGACGACCAGATTGCAGATGTGTTTACAAAACCCCTGCCCTCAAATCGATATCTTTTCTTACGTGACAAGCTACAGGTCGCTACACGGCCTTAGCTTGAGGGGGGATATTAGACAAGAATATATATATATATATATATATATATATATGGTTTAAAGTGTAACAATATGTATGTATATATATTTCATGTAATCGTGACTTTCATAATATACAAGCAAATACAATTCCGAATTCTATTTAATGGAAGAATTATAAATCTCCAAAATAATAGATAGAAATATCGCAAAGTTATTAAAAAGGGACAATGATTTAACTGGGTAACATTGTTTTCTTTATATATACTAGGTACGTCAAAAGTGCTGTGCTAAGCACGACCCGTGAATGATAAATTGTGTATTTTCTTAACCTGAATCTTTGAAGAAATGTATGGAATGCTAAATATGTCTGGATCTCTAAAGAAATGTAAGGAATTATAAATGTTTTTCTATTATTAATAAACAAAAAGCCACGTATGTTGCTATTATTAGTAAGAAAATTAAATTACATTGCTATTATGAGTAGAGAAATGAAATTACATTGCTATTATATGTAAGAAACTAAAGTACATTTCCTATATTAGTAAAGAGAGTGAAATCCATTGTTATTTCCTGTAATTCCGACATTGTAATACTTATAAAGATAATCAAGTTCAAGAGGAATAAAAGATAGCAAAATTCAATGATTTTGACAAATAAATCACTGTACGTATCTGGAAGGGTTTGGGGAAAATTGATAAACATGCCATGCCCTCCTTCATTCATTATAATATTGAATAAATTTGAACGGAAAATTGATCCAAACCTAGTTTGTCGAATTCATATTTTTTTCTCTTTAAAATTACAGATTCAGTGGTCATTTTTCAAATTATTAAACTAGTTGGTTTGTTATAATAGTAAACAAAGAATTGGTCAATTTAGTCAATATCCCATATAATTAAGTTTAAAAACATACATAAGTTGTACTAGATTATGCATGAGATGCAGATGCTTGCACATGAAATACACTAGCTTATGCATAACTAATAAATAACATACACATGATTCTAGATGAGATGCACAAACTTTTGCATAACATGAACCAAAGTATATATGAGATGCACTCAATTATGTATACAACATTACATATCAAATGCACACAAGTTAAATACCAAATGCACTAGTTTGTGCACATCTTATGCATATATATCTCATGCATAGATGAAAATTATCAAACAATATCCGCTCATGTTACAAAATCTCTAAAAACAAAGATGAAACAATAAAACATTTTATAAAATATTGGTATTTATTAGTCATCTTCTCGCATATCAGTCTTCCTTTTAGCCTGCACAGCTAATCTTGCATCTCTTTCCCTCTCAAACTCACGATAATCTGCACGTTGCAAGAAAGAGACTTTATCCAAATACTTATTTCCACTCTTTTTATAAGTTTCAAGTTCTTCATCCAACCGGTTTTCTTCCTTAAATTCACCCCAATCTTTTTTGGTCTTATCAAGAACACTTAGTTTTGGTTTCTTTCTAATTTGCTCAAGAATCGAATCCACTGCAGAAGGTGCACCACTCCCTTTTTCTTTTTCTGATGCTTCTTTTGTGTTTGCATCAACAAACTTCTTTACTTCAATGGCTTCCCCTGCAAAGTCTCTCATTTCTCTCACCTCGATTTTTCCTCTTCCCGAAACAGCAGCCATGTTGGCGGCATCCCTGGCGGCAGAAAGGGCGGCAGCTGCAAGTTTCATGGTGTCTTGACTAACACCGTCTTGTTTATCATCTGGCTTTGACTTTGGTGTGGGCTGGAGAGGTGAAGTCTTTTTTGGACCAAGTCCAAGAACTGTCATCCAACTCTAATGAAAAACGAATGATTGAATTTGTAATATGTTGAGTTGAAAATGTTTTGTTATGTAAAATGTATGAGAAGACTTACGGAAGAAGATGTTTTTGAAGAAGGTTTAGATGAAGTTCCTTTTGAATTTGAGGGAGACTTCTTTATAATGGAATTCAGCTTCTCTTTAGAAATTCCTTTGTTCATCTGCTGCCACACAGCATCAACTCTGGTGTTTTTCTCTGGGATTTTGGAATAAACTTTAACCAAATGAATGGATTTGAATAGAAGTAGAAGTGTGTGAAGAAAAGCCATCATGCAGAACAGATGGATTAAATTTTAAAAGTAATATAGAAGGGAAAACATTTTCGATAATTTGATGATATGGCTTAAGATAAAATCCTTCGTTCTGAAAAGATTGAGTTACAATTACTCTGATTTATTGTCTCCAGGCGAACTGTAGATAATCAAGAATCTAACTAGTGAACTTGAAAGTCAGTTTGTTTTCATTCCCTTTATCATATGTTAACTAACATTTACCATGTACAAGCTTGTAGCATTTCCAAGAAGTGCAAACTTGCATATTAGAAGAAAAGTGGGAGGAAAACAAGCATCATATCTAAAACCTACTTAGTAAAACCATTCACATATTGTAAACCTATCGGATTGCGAACAATTCAAAGAATCTTCCATAAGTGACTCATTACTCTATTGCATATGATAACCTAAGACTGAGAGCTGTTGAAGGCCCTAAGTTGGTTTATATTATAAAGATGATCAATTTCAAGAGGAATAAAAGATAGCCAAAGTCGATGACTCTGACAAATACATCACTGTACATACCTGAAAGGGTTTGGGGGTTGGCTTGCATCACTAGAGGAAGCGTGGATTGAGGAACATCAGTGGTCGGCTGCGGCTGTTGATCTCCAGAAAAATCGACAGACTTGCCCTCCCCTCCTTCATTCATTGTATTGAAGAAATTTGAAAGGAAAATTGATCGAGAAGTAGGTGGGATTCTTCAGGTTCAGGCTCTTGAATATGTTCGCTTCCCCGACCAAAACCCCAATCGGAATCCTTGGGCAGAGATGTTTGAAAATATGCCTGCGCTAACAATAAAAAATCCAATCGTGGATGCAGAGAATTGGGGGGTTTGAGAGTAGCGAGCAGTGACGACGATCGGTTGAGCGGTAAAATACACAAGAATGACGACAAGACCCTTTTAACCTAAAATCCAAAAAGAAAATGAAAAAATGCGTTTGCCGGGAGTCGAACCCGGGTCTATTGCTTGGAAGGCAATTATCCTAACCGTTGGACTACAAACGCAACTTGTGTTAAACAATTTTGAAATAATATAAGTCTTTTGATGTATATATATTTTTTACTTTATCCCAAGTCTATAGTGTCATGGTCCACAATACTTAATTTGACGCCATTGACTATTTATAACCTTTTTATGGTTTTCAAGTTTGTCCTTGACTTGCTGCGTTTAACTATTGACTATTAGTCATAATTTTGGACTAAAGTAAACTTTAACCGGCTATCTCTTAAGAGTATTAAATTGTTTAATATGAGATTGACTAAATCTTTAACCTATGTCTCAGGAGTATTCATAATCCATTATATTTTATAAAGTTTAATGAATTGTTACATTATACATTAAATACCCACTCAAATTTAATTTTATTATCGACAACCCATTAAACATGTATTCAATAATGATCTTTATTATTATTTTTTTTTTTTATTGAATCTTATAGAAGAGTTGAATGATTATTCAATTGTTTCATTCAACTTCACCCTATATCATCACCCACTTTCTATTAAACATTCATTCAATCCTAATCACCATCTTATTAAACTTCTAGTTGTATATGTGCCCTAAACATATACTCCCCACCATCTTATTAAACCCTATATGTTCACTTTTATAACATCCAATATATATCATTGATCAAACCAATATATAGAAAATCATATTACAAAGAAAATTCATATTCGCTTAATAATGATCAACCCTGTTTATAATCAAGTGAGCTCCAAATTGGGGTTGTACAGTAAGGACTGAATGAGGAGCATGTGAATAAGACGGTGAAAGCACAAAAGTGAAACGTTGCAGAATCATCGCTAACGCTATTTTGGCTTCCATCAGAGCAAAGTTTTGGCCGATGCATATACGAGGTCCCCAACCAAATGGGAAATACGACATTCGTCCCTTAGTTGCCTTTGAGACACCTTCAGAGAACCTCTCAGGCATGAACTCCTTTGCATCGTCACCCCATATCTCATGGTCATGGTGCAACATAGCCACGGGTATTGTGATTGCAGTTCCAGCCGGTAAACTCATCTCTCCTAGCTTAGTTTCTTCATTAGCCAATCGGTATAATGCCGATACTGCAGGATATAGCCTTAAAACTTCATGCAAAATCATAGTAACCTACGATCAAACAACAATAAAACCATTAATTTAAACCGGAACACACGATTACGAGCTACAAAAACAAGAAATTGTGAATGAAATGATGAAATTAACTAATTCCATACGATCTTCAGGTGACTTAATCCATCAATATCTGGTTTTTCACGTCCAAAGACACGAAAAACTTCGTCTCTTGCTTGTTCTTGCCATGATGGATGTTGGCTTAGTAAGATCATGGACCATACGAGCAAATTGGAGGTGGTTTCTTGGCCTGCAAAGTAAAAGAGCTTGCATTCTTCTATTACATCTTCGATGCTCATTCCTCGAATCTCATTTTGATTGGACTCCAACAATATGCCTAGTAAGTCATCATGGCTAACTTCACCATCTTCCATTGCCATTAGTCTTTTCTCAATAATACCTCTTATTGAAGCCTTCACATGACGATCAATCTCTTTCACTCTTTTGTTCTTTTTAGTGGGCAAAAACCTACGGGAATTAAGAAGATTATGACATATCAATGATCGTGTGATATTTCATACGTCTCAAGGATTTAAGATGTATATGTATGTATGCTTTACCTAGATCCAGGGATGTATACAGAATGTATGATTTCCAATAGTAAAGTAATAAGTTCTTTCTGAAGTTCAAATATCCTTCTTCCTTCTTCATAACTACTACCAAATGCCGTGCGTGAGATTATGTCGCTCGTTAGTGTCTGAAGATATGGAAACACATCGAGCTCGCATGAATGCTCACATGCTAACAACTTCTGCCACTTCTCCATCATCTCGCTACAACTCAAATGAATAGCCGGAGCCATGTACTACATAACAAATAAACATAATCTCGAAAAACTACATCCATCGTTTCATGTAAGAGATGAGGAGTTGAATGATTTGAATGCTATATGTATGTAAAAGAGGATTAATAAACCTTTAATTTGTGCGCATGGAATGCGGGATTGATGATTTTTCGATGTTTGATCCATTTATCTCCATCGTAATCAATTAATCCTTGAGATAATAACTTAATATAGGGATTTTTTTTCCTAAGCTTTTGGAAATCGTTGATTCTAGAGAGTATATCTTTGGCTAGACCGGGATCAAGGACATACACTATTGGGTTTGGCCCCAACCACGCAAAGAAAATATTACCTGTGAAATAAATTAGATTTGTATTTCAATAACGATTATATAAGTTTAATTACCCTGTTATCCAACTTTTTGCTTATTTTGTGATTGGAAATTAATTTTAGGAAGCAACCAATTGATACCATATGTTTTGGTTGACCTAGAAACAAAGGGTAAGAGTCTTGGAATGATATCATCATGGATACTGATGGGGTTTTGGTTGGCTTCTTTGACCAGTTGTTTCATATCTTTTGTATCCCCATAAAAGAACTTGTAGGAGGTTCCCTTGATCCCTTGAAGCCTTAGGTGCCTCTCAAGCCTCCTTGGTTGCACCCACACCCACTTCAACAACCTCCATGCCACAACAACCACCATGGCCACTCCAAAAGAGCTTGTAAGCCACAAGTGCATACTTGTCTCCATTAAGGACTAATGAGAGAGAGAGAGAGAGGGAGAGATTGGAAGTGTTCATAAGATATGGAGTGGTAGGGAGCAATATTTATAAATACTGTTTTCGTGGAGCTGAAATCTCATTGTTGTGAATTAAACTTTCTTATAATAACAAACCAACCTTGTAAACCATGTTAAATTGATAATGGACTTTAAAATTTGCGATGAAGTGCGATTTCACTTCCTTGGGAACATAAATGTTGGTCAACGGTGTTTGTTTCGTTTTGGATGTCTTTAAAAACGTAGACAATCATATAGCAAACAAAAATCTTGCCGAATGTATTGTATCATTCAATATTTACATGTGAAAGAAAACAAGAGTAGATGACACCATTGTTCTGTACGTACTAGATAATGGACATTCTTGGCATCGCTTCTAGAAGATATATGAGGCAGAGATATCCCCACAACGTCATTAATTCGCAACCTTCATCTTATTCAAAACATTTCAACTCAAGTTACATGTATACACACTAATTGACATACAAATATACAATAGATTAAAATATACAATATTTTAAGCTCAATTATAATCGCTGTCAAGTTGGTATAAAATAGATTTGGGTTCAATACCCATTTAAATGTTGAATGAAAAATGATTATTGATTATCAAAAAGGATTATATATGTTTTTCTAAATATGTTCAATTGAATTTTATAGATTCTATGTATCTTAGTAATTAAATAGAAAAGTTGTATTAAAAATAGAATTTGATGTCAATCGATTAAACTACATGGAGTTGAAATACATTGTGAATGTCTTAAGTCTATTGTTTAATTGCTTAAAAGTTAAAACTAGTAATTATGATTTTTGTTCAAGATTCTTTTGTTAATTCATTATTAAACAGCATTTAAGATTCGCTATTCATCCTTCTTATTTGATTTTCAATTGTCATTTCAAACACTGTTTTTTATTTTATATTTGATATTTGATATAGATAGATTTCTTATTAAATAATTATGTTAAAACATAAAATAAGTATTATCAATACAAAATATGTAAATATATGTGGTAATATGGATAATTACTTTCAAATTTTATATGATATGGACAATTTTAAGAAATATATACAGTTTTGAATTTTTTTGCCATATTAGCAGTGCATCGTATTGTACGTGAACAATAACATTGCATAAGAACAAATTAACTTGTGCCAAATTATCTCGTTTTAAATCTCTTTGCTATAATATTTTTAAACTCTTTAAAGTAGAAAGCTCTAATGAAGAATAATTTAAAGTAAAGAAAAATGTTATAATAAAGACAAAAAGAGTACAATGTTATAAAAACAAAGAAAAATTAAAAACTGCTTTGTTATTTCTTACATTTTGCCATATTCAACACTTAGATCAAATGTTTTAAATGTTTTAATCAAATGTTTTAAAAGCATATAACATACAGGATCATAAATCAATTGATGTAACACTAGATAAACAAGCAAATGATTCTACAGAGTAAAGTAATAAAGAAATAGACCCCTAATCAAATCACCATATCATAAATATTCAAAAGAACCATTGAGAAGATGCTAAAAAGTATAATTCATTATGCACGAATAATCACACACAAAGTTAGGTTTCACAACTACAACTCAACAAGGAATCTTCGAAGTAAACCATTCCATGACATGAATCGGAGCCTTAATCAGCTCGATTGCTATTTCAACTAACACCGTAAGGCACAAACAGCAGGGGCATATGCATGTCAACGACAATCTGTTTCAGTTCATCAGTATAATCAGAAATTGAGATTCAATTCGAATTAAAATTTTTTAAGTAGCGGATCAAACGATTAGACAAGTGATTTCGAGAATGAGTAAGTAATTATAACGTACCCGACGATCCAGACGACGACGCCGATGATTGATAGAAGAAGGGAAAGGAAAGCAAAGGGGAGACCGAGTAGGAAACCCAAAGGTCTGCAGTCGCCATCACCGCAACACATTTTTGCTTGCTCTGTCTCTGTCTCTGTATCTGGTCTCTGCTGGTGAAGGGATAAGCGAAAGGGTGTTTATATTTGCTACGCTACGCAATCTATTGTATTGTAGTTTTGCTTCTCTTTTAGTAAATTACAATATTAGTCCCTCACTCAAATATCTCTTCGCAATTTTTTTAATAAGTTAATTCCGTCTTATAGTATTCAAGAAATAATAAAAAATTTAATCAAATGAAAAAATCTACAAAATTAGTAAACGTGTCGAGAAAAAGTCATTTTTGGCTGCCAAAAACCTTAATTAAATTGTGCACTGGTAATCATATATAAGACATATTTTTATCATGTTTCTTCACTTTTATATCATTTTTAAGGTTAAAAAATCTTTTTAAAAAAAACCTTCAATTTTTTAGACTATTTAAACCTTTTTTCTTAAGATTTTTAATACAAGAAAAGTTCAAAAAATGTACTTTTATTTTAATTTTCCCAGATCATATCTAAGAAATTAAGAATGTCATATATTACATCTGTAAAATTCTTTGATATTGTTTTTTTTTTTAGAATTTTTGAAGATTAAACTTACAATATAAAGCTATTTCTTGTAAAAATGACCTTTGAAGATTTTACTACAAAAAAGTTCAAAAAAATGATTTTTCTTTCAGAATGTAAAACATATATTTTCGCTGATGAGGCCCATGGTTTTTTTTTTCTTCTTAAAAACAACTTCTAGTGGTGCTCTCGTATATGGCTTGTCATTTCATAGATTGCGAGTAGGTTTCAATTTAATTCTTTTGGTGTTTTCCAAAAAATTCACATATTTCATCTATAACAATGATAGATTATCTTGATAATTAAGTTAATTTTTTACTATTTCTAAAAAGATAGTAAATGAGATAAGATATGTTTTTCTCCACAAAGAGGCAAACACGTCATTTGCATTTTTATCATACTATGTATTATTTATTTATTTATTTAGACAGTCAATAAATATTTGAGGCTAGAATCTAGTCATGTTACAGAATTTTTGCTATCAGTTGAATCTTTATAGTTGCGACCTAAGTTTATGAAGGTCGTATTCATGCTCTTATAGATATACGACTCAAATTATTCATGTTTTAATTAATTTAGTGAACAATAAATTTGGAAATAGAACATGACATGACCAATAATATATTGAAGGAGATATTTAGGATTTGTTTTTTTGAAGTCAAAATATCTGCAGTCTGCAGTCTGTGGACCACGTCTGCAAGCCTCTGCAGCAGAATGACACGACCAATAATATATTAATGTCTGCAGTCTGCAATAAGAAGACTGATTATTTTTAACGTCTGCGACTGTTGAAATAAATTGAAATTTCAAACTTAATTTCATGTCATAAACATTAAAAATGCATTTTCAGCAAAAAAAATAATAAAATAAAAATAAAAATAAAAGAAATTGTACGGTGGCCCATGTTTTTTTTTTGTTTAGGTTAAAATAAAGTCTGAAAACCTTTGAAGACGGTAGCTCATGTCTGCATCAGGAAGATTTCGCGTAGATGTTTTTTGATCTACGCACTTCCAAAAAACAAACACTCTGCGATGATATATGTATGCGCGTTGTCTGCGCGACGCAGACAAAAATGGTTGCACAGATCTTCACATAAAAAAACAAACAACCACTTATTTAAAACAGTTTATGAGGTGTTAAAATAGAAATTTTTTTTAAATATTTGGACACCAAACCATAATAAACTAATAAGTTATTTTTTGTAATGTTTGAAAATTTGAATTTATACATGTAAAATGATTGAAAAAAGACATTTTTATATTTCATTGACTTATCCTTTTACACAATGAATTATTTTTATTTTTTAATATAATATTTTTGGACAAAAAACTATACTAAGATGATTACTTATATAACGTATCATAAAATACACAACCTGAAAATATATGGGTTTAAAAGGATAAACATAAGCAAGCAATAGAAAAATTATTTGGATGTACAGCAAACAAACACCATTGTAGTTAGAAGAATATTAATCACACAAAAATAAATAAATAAAATAAAATAAAATAAATAAAAAAAACCACACAAGCACATGGTATCCATTCTTCCTTATTCGTGTTCTCTTTGGTATTCATATTCCCACAATAACAACAGCTAGAGGAATAATGCTTTACACCACGCTCTTACCTTTTTTGTAGCTTATTTTACAAAGTATTTCATGCGTCTTTTCTCTTTTGGAAATTATCACTTTTGTAGCTTTACACATTTGCACGTTAATAATTGTTATAAAATATTAGTCCCTTACAAGTTTTCTAAGAATTGGGTTTTAAGTACTTAACATGTTCAGTCATTAATTGAAGACTTTTATCAAACTAATTAACAACACTCTACACTAGTCTAAAGCTGCTCATTGTAACAAAAACTAGATGTTATTTTGACATTTTAACAAAGTTTGCAATAAAACTAAATAACTTTACAAGCTTCAGAGGGGAAGTTGAGTGAGCTTTTTATGCAATACACAGAAGCTCTTAAAACAGACAGTTAAATAACCAACCTGAAACAAACTGTCACTAATTCTAAGACACTACAAACTTACTTCAGTGTTTGATTACATACTTCACGTGCTAAAATAAGTTTACAACTTAACAGTTACAGATACAACAACAAACACCTAAATTCGAATTGCACGTCGTGCATCAAGAGTTGTACATTTGCTCCATATGTTACATCTTCATCTTCTACAAATAAGTACTACTTGGTGCAGTTTCAGAAATCTGCAAAAGAAAAGGGTTTAAATATATTAGCAGAATGAACATTTTAAAACATGAGTGAGATGAAAATAATCACAATATACACGATTAAGATGATTAAATAATACCTTCTTGTTGCAATCATGCCTTTGAAGAATGACCTGCATCAGATCCTGCTCCAGATGAACTATCACTATCAGAATCTGTAATCAATTAAAAAAAATAAGACAAATCATCAGAAAAAAAAAACAATTTTGAATATATTAATCAATTTTAACATGCGGAGATGAGAGGAAAAAGAAGGAGGGATAGGTAAAGGGTTAGTGGCTTGATACATTAAGCCAGGTTTTTTGGCTTCATATTAAGTCAAAAAGAAAGAAAACCATTAATTCTCATATGCTAATAGTTAATTAATACCACTAGAAGAGGATCCAGATACACTGCTGGAGCTGCTAGAGCTACTTGACTTGTTGTCTCCATGAGCAACTTCCTCCTCCACTTTCTTCTCCATCTGAACATCTGTCTCATCAGCTTCTTTAGGGGCATCAACAACAATTGGTTGTGGGATCTGAAATTAGGAAGAAAAATCATGTTTTTTTTTTTGGCATATTTCATTACATAAAGGAAAAAAGATGGTATGAAAGACTCACGTTTTCCTGTACATTTGGTTCAACTTCCATTGTTTCTTGATTGGGAAAATCAGCTTTCCTTTTGTTCTTGCTTAAACCTTTCTTGTAGTTTGTAACAAACCGATCAAGCTCCCATAGAGTTTCAGTATCAAAAGTATCAATATCCACTTCAATTTCATCATCTTTTTGAGACAATGATGGGTTTCGTTTCTTGATAATCTGAACAACATTATCTAGCTTTTCAGAAGGCAGATTCTGAAGGTCCATACTAAGCTTTTGCTTCTCATCATATGTCATTTCCCTTTTGTTGAGTTCTTTAGCCTTTGGTTTCTTGGAAGAAGGAGTTCTACCCATGGTAGAAGGATTCATAGGCTTTGGTTTAGGATCAATGGTTGGAGCAGGTGGAGGTGGAGGTGGCAAAACAATTTCATTATTTACTGCAAGCTTAGACTCACGGATATAATCTGCTTCAATGAGTTTCCATTTTTCTTGAAAAAAATTTAACAGAAGCTCTGCCATGGCATGAACATCTTGCCCTTTTGGGTTGTATGTCATAGCATTGTGAAATGTGAGTCTTACATCTTCTGCAAACTCCATTGGAGAATTATACCAGTTTTTATCCAGACGTGATTTTACAGTTTCCAAATCCATTGGATGCTTAATGATGTCAAAGTAATCATGTAAACCAAGGGCAAGTGGATCAACAGGCTTATTAAACACCCAGCCATGTTTGTGCTTCATTAATTTCTCAAGCAAAGTACTACAGCTCTTGAACAATTTGTTTGAAAACTTAGCATCAACTCCTCCTTGTTTCTTGCCACTAGGTTTTAATTTCTTGTGGCTCTCAGTTGCAGGGATTCTATCTTTGGCAAGAAGAAAATCTGATTTCCTGTAGAACTGGTTTGCTTTTGGAGTTCTTTTCTCCTTCTCTACATTCTCGCTTGTAGTTGTACCCTGAGTGTTCTCCAAAACAGAGATACTTAACTGATTCAATGGCCTCGACCCTACCTCCTCAATCTTCTTCACCAATCGCTTAACCAGTTCAAGCTCACTAACAAGCTTCCTCTTAATTTCTCTCATCTCTTGCTTCGATTTAGATGTCAGCTGGATAGTGACTCGATTCTCCTGCCTTCGAAATCCAAATTTACTTCCTCCGTTTCCAGGAGGAACCCGAGAACCCATAACTACCACCTGGCTAGGGTTTGCGTCTTCTGAAGCTAGGTTTGAACTGTGAGACGGTGTTGAATTCTTCTTCTTCTTCTTGTTTAAACCTTTGAAGGACTTTCTACTGAAAATTTTCTCCGAATTCATACATGAAATCCAAAAACCCTAACTCAATCTGCTTCGATTGTACAAACATGTACAAAATACTAGATTTTCATACAATTTTGAAGATTAAAACCAATATTCACACAGCTTCTATAACTTTACACAAACAAAACATAATTAAGTCTGATAGAGTGATAGTAACACACTAGGGTTCCGAGAAAGTACCTTTTCAAATAGATCGAACCCTTATTAACTCATTGGATTCTTCGCTTATTCTTTCTCTCTCTACTCTCTCTCTCTCTCTGGCTTAGATTTCGACCATAGACAGGTCCTGAAGGATGATATCGCCACCGATAATGGAGTGAAGGCGTCGAGGGTGGCCCGTCGGAGTGGTGCGGATCGTAGGGCCGAGGTTTGTGAAGATGACGTGGACTGGATAAACGAACGGATGATCATGCGAGATTATGAAAGCTGACCGCCATTGTGCGTAATGTCACAAGAATTTAACCACGCGCGATGGTGGCGCGTGTCAATTTCTGAGTATCGGAGTTCCTACTACGCTCCCATTTGAAGTACTAGACAAATCCAACAGTACCCCCTCAGCTTTAATAGATGGGCGATTTGGACCCTCTTGAATGATGTGTTGCCCAAAATACTCCCCGAACATTCAATTTGTGAATCAACGAGCCTAATTTTCTCCATATACATCTAGTCATCTACCATTAAATTTTTAAAAAATTAGAGTACTCATCATATAATTGTTTTAACTTTTAAGACTGAAATTACACAAATACTCAACGCAGTTTACAAATATGTTTTTTGTGGGATCTTATATTTCTGATAGTTAACTTTCTTAAAGTTAACAGTTAAAAGTTAGTATCATCTAGTTAGATTATCATTTAATTAGTAAAATTGTCTAGTATCATTTAATAGTAAATTTGTCAATGTTCATATTAGAACTCATCACCTTCAATTTAAAAGACACTCTCTATCAAATGAATTAGTTTATAAAGGATAAAATATTATTTTTATTTTGAAAAAATTATTGAATGTAAATTAAAAGAATAATTTACCCATTTGTCTTCTTTTCTTTATTTTTTGAAATTTGCTTGTTTATTATTATTTCTTTTTACCTTAAGCTTAAACTTCTTTCATTCTTTGAAAAAAATAGTTTTATAAAGGCACTTAAAGATGATAGACAATGTAACGTCCATGTTTTTAGGTTAAGCATTAGTATAATAGTGTAATAGTTAGAGTCAACAATTATAACATACTTTGAAGTAATAAAGATGAATTATCAGAATATTATGTGAATTATGTGATTTTATGTGCATTATACTTATTTATAAGATATAATAAGTTAAGAATAAAAATAAGCGTAAAAAAAAAAGGTAGACCCAATATCTATGAAGAAAGTTGAAGTGGTCGGGACAATGATTCTGGAGATATAAAAAACGCCGAAATCCGAGTTATAACGAAAAAGTTAAGACCTATCGAAGTTTCCGGATAAAACCGGCACGACACTGGAAATCGTAAAAAGTGAGTTTATGATAAAAATACTTTTTAGCCTTAGTGATTCAAATGAAAGTTGTAGAGAACGTCTTCACCTACGTGTGGATATAAAGAACGTAAAAAATAGAGTTCGTATGCAAAAGTTATGACCTTCCGAAGATGTAGCAGTCTAAAGGCATGACATATGGTAGAAACCCTAATCAACCTCAAGTCCACGACGTGAACATTAAGCCCATGAAGTAAAACTAGTCAAATACACTAATCGAGGCTAGAAAACACGTGCTAAGTCTACGGGAGTGATATGTTAAGACTCCACGACGTGGACATAAGATTCACAAGGTGGAAATATCATATGGACACCTTTCGAAGCTAGAACGCAGATGGCAAGCCTACCAAGTGATTCAGCCATGCGCCATGATGTGGACATAAGACTCCACGATGTGGACATGTTTTGGGCAGCCTATAAATAGCAAGTTCGACCCTTTCTCTCCTTACACCAAATTCTTTCTCTCTCTCTCTCTCTCTTGTTTGTTGAAAGCATTATGTGTCCCGAGCATGACAATCATGAATCGCTGACCGTTTCTAGTTAGATTCAATCCAATCACTCTACTAAAGTGATTGCATAGTTACTTTCATCTTACACATAGATATGAAATATTTATATGAATTATTGTTGAATTCGTGTCTAAGTCCATAACTATTTTGCTATGTGCTTGACCCGATGGTGCATGGTCCTTTTGGGTTGCCTTCACCAAAGCAACTTGATAGGATGAATTATGGAGAGAAAGGATTAAATATGATTTATTAATATATTATGGGAATAATATATTAAAGGAGAAATCATATTGTTTAATTAATATTAGTCAAGAATTAATTGATAATTAATTTTGTGGCTAAAAGAGATTAATTAAACTTAAGGGACTGGAACTGTAATTATAAGATAATTGCAATTGGGCTATGGATTACCTTATTATATAAGGTTGGACGAATTCTATGGGGAAACCCATAAGAAATCGTCCAAGGCCTTTAAGAAAGGATTCCATGGGCTGCTTAGGGCTTAAGCAGTCAGATAGTTTAAATCCCTAATAGCCTACATGTATATATAGGACCCTTAAGCCCCAAAAATGTGGACAAGCCTCCTTCTAGGGTTTTGGACGGTTTTGGGCAGCCTCCTTCTCTTCTCCTCTTCATCTTCTTGCTCTTGGTGTTTGTGAACCATTAGAGGAGTGACACTTGTGACTCTAAGCTTTCTAAAGTCATTACAAGAATTAGGGTTTATAGTCTTGGATAAATTGCATGTACAATAGAGAAACCTAGATCCAAGCATTAGGGTTTGTATGAGCACATAGGATGTTCTTATGAATAAAACCCGTCAGTGGTAGCAGAGCCTAGATTGGTTTCTATTGTATTGATGCATTATGTAGTTGAAAATCGTTTTCTGGCCTTCTGTTCAACCTGACTCGGCAAGTCACTACCTGAACTCGGCGAGTCAGCCCTACTCGGCGAGTTCCAGAGTGTGACTCGGCGAGTCGGAGCGTCAGACAGAGGGATTTTCGGATTTTATTGCTGTTTTGCTTAAAGATAAATACCATATTCGTTTTAAACCTATAAAATACGAATTTTATTGTTTCTTAATGAATATCCTTGCCAAAACACAAGATAATTACCAATTAATTAGATAATAACTTCCTTATATGATTAAAGTTGATTATATGTATTAATTGGGTAACTTATTTTGCAAGAAATTGAAATTAGGTCAAATATAGATAATGATAAAATTAATTGTTTAATTTATATTATTTGTTATTTGATCCTTGTGTTATGAAAAGTTTCAATTTTCCCCTTTAGGTTTTATCATTTAAATTTGAACTTAAAAGTTTTGTTTTTGAAATTTAAATAGTTAAAACCCAAATGTTTTGAATAGTTTCAAAACTTGCCCTCAAGTTTGGAATTTAAATTTTTGATTAAATGTTTAATTTTGATGTATATTTAAATTCTAAACCCTAATGTTTTGAAATGTTTCAAAACTTGTCCTCAAGTTTTTGAATTTAAATGTTGATTAAAAGTTAATTTAGAAATGTTAAATTTTTAAACCCTAGTATTGTTTTGAAAAGTTCAAATCACACCCTTATGGTTTTATTAATTAATTAAGGCGTATAATTAAAAGAGGTTTAATAAATCCATAAAAGTTTTGGTTTACAATTTAATTGAATTAAAAGTATAATTGTTAAATTTGACCACATAGTATTTTAAAAGTGTATAATACACCCTATACTATATATAACATTAAAAGTCTAACATTATATATATATATATATATATATATATATATATATATATATATATATATATATATATATATATATATATATGTATGAGTAAAAGTCAGTCTTACCGTTAGTAGGCCTCATTCACGAAGCTGGTCTATAAGGGGTGTTTAAGGAAATTACCTATAAAATGACGATTGAATGGGTATCCACTCTTACCCACCGCACTCTTGACTAGTGGAGGGTCGTTAGCCGAACGGGTAGGATAGGACAAAACCTTCCATTATAAGTATAATGAAGTACAAAAGTAACTAAATGTTTTACAAATTCCCAATCTTAGTTACTTAGGCAAAAGTGAATTGATGCAATTCCATGAAATTACACTTTGTGCCCTTGCGACGACATTAGTGGAGCGTGTGTCGTTTACCGGCACACTAAATGGTTCTAAGCAAAGGTAGCAAAGGGTGACTCAATGTTTGTCATCGTTCGGTGGAGCGTGTGTGGTTTACCGACACATCGAATAGATGACCGTGACATGTGAGGGCCCGCTTTGTGATCCTCGGCATCCCAGTCACAAACTAGAGGGGCATATCGAGATTTAAACATGCCATTGAAAAGTTCAATGAATCTCAAAGGATCTAGGAGTTTTCATAGATTTAAAACTTAAATTTATTTTTCGTTTTTCATGGTGGAAATTAGTGAATCGTCATTCACTTACCTTCAAATATTCTGCAACTAGATTACGACATCCCTTTTCTAGGTTGTAGCATATTGTGTTGGGTCCTAGCCTTAATATCTCATTTGGGTGATTTATTAAGGACTCAATCTATCAACTATCTTGAATTTGTTTTCTCCCATTTTGTAGATGTCAAAGTTCGACAACGATGGTCTTCCCAAATCCCATGGAACAAGCTTTCCACATGAAGATGATATTCCACGATTCGATCGAGGAACAAGAAATCATGCTTCACTTCCTCCACCTCCTCCTATTATTCTCCCTAACCCACAAGTTCGAAGGCTTGAAAAGTTCAAGCTCACTCAAGCCCTTTTGGCAAGTAAACATGAAGAGGGAAAGTCGGTGTGTGCACACGTCCTAGGGATGAAGTCACACATTGACAGGTTAAGAATGTTGGGATCCGTTGTCTATGAGGAGATGGCTGTTGATTGGGTTCTTCAGTCACTTCCTAACTCGTATAGTGAGTTCGTAAGAGAGTACTATATGATGTATTACGATGTGACCCTTATAGATCTCACCTATATGCTTATTGCTGCTGAATCAACAATGGTTTGGCGCAATAGAAAAGCAAAGTTGATTGGTGAATATACCTTCAAGACCTCTATGGATATAGACAATGGCAACGAAAGACATCCTATGATCGAAAAGTTTGATCATAAGAGAAAGGCAATGTCTGAAGTAGTTCCATGTCATGTTCCAAAAGAGTCAATTTGCTTTTATTGCCAAAAGAAGAGGAATTGGAGATGAAGCTGCCCTATTTACCTAAGAGATCTAAGAGATGGGAGAGTCAAAATGTATGGCTCTGCTTTAGGTAAAATCCATTGACTAACTCTTTTAAGCTCCTATTCTAGATTTTTAATACATAATGTGATAAGATTACAATTGATGGATCGAAGAAAGGAAAGGAAGCTTAAGGGAAGAAGTGAGCAAAATCTAACCGT